CCCTCCCCTCTCGCCCTCGCCCTTCTCCCAGCGCGCAGCCGAGGGCCGGAAAACCGGCGGCGCCTCTTCTCCAGCGCGTCCCATTCCCATCACCTTCTGGCGCAAAATGGTCTCGGGCGAATCTCAGGCAGCGACGGCGCCTCGCTTCTGAATGAAGGCGTTGGGCCTGAGCGGCCGCCTGGGCAGGAGAGCCTCAAGTTCAGGTGCTCCAGAGAGGCGGTGTAACGGAGGCGGAGGCCTTTCGGGCGGAGGGAGGGAAGTCTCTCCGCTCTCCGAAGGAGGTTACATTCCCCCCCCCCTCAGGCAGACAGGCCGTCGGCTAAGGCGCTTTCAGCCGGAGCCGGCGCGAGATTCCGGCTTCAGGCGGGGACGGGGGGGGGGCTTCGGGAGGCGGGAGCCCTCCCTCCAAAATGGGAGCCAAAGCTGCGTCTTTGAGGGATGGCTCGAAGAGGAAAGGACCTCTTTGTTTCCTGCCAAAGGACAAAACGACCACCTCCTGCCGTTTTGTCCTAAGGTGCGTTAGGAGCCCGCGCCGTGGAAGTGAGGAAGGGATGAGAGAGAGAGAGAGGTGTGATTCCCGGAGGCTGTGGCATAAAAAGGAGGAGTATTTGCCAAGAGGGGAGATGGAGGCTTAAGCCTTGCTGCAATGTGAGCGTTCTGCATCCAGCCATTTTGATACCAAGCGGGAAAGACGGTGGCCGCAGGCAAACCCATTCTTTCAGGCAGGACTGAGGAAAAGAAAGGGACTCTTTCTCTCCCTTGCTTCCAGGCTCTTATCTTGCCTTTACGTTGGTATCTAGAAGGCCCCATCTAGAAGGGGAAGGCAGATGCCCTGAAAGAGAACGTATGATCTTCTGTGCCTGTTGTGGTACTAGGAAATGAGGGCATCAGACATCATTTCTCCTTCATTACACCCAACAGTAGCCTTTAATTTATTCTCAGGTGACTTAAAAAAAATTAAGGAATTCCTTCTGAATGTTTAGGAGGAAATACTTCCCCCTCCCTTCCTGGAAAGGTACATTCTCTATAAGTGAAATTCCTCCAATTGTTCTAAAAATATATATATTGTATCCAGCTTCCACAGCTGACATCACCATGTTATGTCCTTATTCTATTCTGACATTTCCAGAGCATAGGGATGTGTCTGAAATTCAGTGAACTGTGTGGTTTAAAATTACAGTTAGTTAATTTCATTACATCCAGCATAAAAGCTAGCAAAAGGTATCTCTCCAATTTCTTTACTTTTAAATGGTGTTGTAAAGTAAGCAGTCCGTGCCATCACAGAGGCTTTGGAGACACAGAGCTTCCATTTTCAGGGAAGGAGGGCAACTGGCACCCCTTTTGCTAAGACAGATTTACACTGTAGTTGCCTATACGGTATATTCTTAGCTCTCCAGTGCCTGCTTATCACCAAAACTGAAGCAAGATTCAGAGCGGATCTAGTGGGAAACGAATAACATTTCCCTTCTTGGATACATGTGTTAAGCCTCCTATATTTAGAATAAATCTGAAAGCTATGAGCACTTTTTAAAAAAATGCTCCTTGAAGTGGGGCAAATTTGTATGGACAAAGGTTTCCTTCTCCCTCTGGAACTAGCTTAGGCAAGGAAACTCAACTTTCTAATCTACAAACAATTTGGTCAAAGTTGGACTTAAACAGAAACAGGGCTTTCTTTGGCTGCAGTGAAACTGGCACACTAATCCTGATCTGCTTGCAACATTGTGATAAAATTATTGTAACACTAGTTTCAATTGTTTAATTGTTTACATTTCATTTAATGTTGAGCTTTAATGCAAGGCATATTTATGCTTTGCACAATTATTAAAGAGCAAATTCAACTGCATGAAACAGGCCTTATTGCTGAGTAAACCTGAATACAGCCGCATAGTAGCAACTCATTCCTATGACATTTAACTGAGAAGCAAATTCTAGTTAGTTGAATGGGTCTGACTTCTAAGCAGTCTGTTTTTGAATAGTATTGCATTAGAATGGCATCCTGAACACACATGCCTGGAAATAAATAACAAGCACACTCAAATGGGACTTTTTAGAGTTTTTCAATTACTGGAGACTTTTAAGCATCTGAAAATGAGTGCTGTGAACACATGAAACAAAGCTGTATGCAATTTCATAATCATAAGTAGATCAGATTAAGTTTGGGGATAATAAAAGAGAGCTCTCAGAAATCTTTGTGAAAACATTAAGATCATTGGTGACATGCTATAAAGTAAATACATAACATTTCTTCATCACTGGTGGTAACATGCAGCAAATAGATTCAAAACAAACTACTTTAATTAAAGTTCCAGACAAAGGTATAGTTTATTTGCTTAAAATTGTCAAGACAGAAGTATAGAACATTTCTTTAAATTAATTCCTCTTTCATTGCTGATTTTTTAAATTGAAAATAAATGATGTTTCATACCTTTCTTATAAGGTATGCTGGCAGATTCCATCTCAGAAAAGGATAAACTAAAACTCCTGAAAGAAAAGAGAATGGATGCATTTAGAAGTCATGATAAACCATACCCATTTCCAGTGAAGTAACTATGTTAGCCTGTTTCAGCATGTACAGCAAAATAAAAAACAAAAGAGTTGTGTCTCCTTAAAGATCAACCAAATAATTTCCATGCAAGCTTTCACAACATGAAAGGGAATTTTGATCCAGGAAACAAATTGGTCAGTCTTTAAGTTGACACAAAACTTTTGTTTTTATTTTTGCCATACATGTTAAAATATACTGTAGCTTCAGTTTTAAATTAATGGCAGCACATCATGTCATAGGAACCCAACAAACCATGGTTAATCTTAACTATGATTTGTTTGAAACAAGTCAGCCTTTTTTCAATTGGTTTTTTAAAAATATAACGTAATAATTATTAATTACAGTCAGAGATTTGGATGTCATGCCAGTTGTGATAAATTTAAATCAGAAATGAAAGCTTTCAAACTCCTCATTATGGTCATAACAGAAAATGATATGGAAGAGGAGGAGGACACATGGCAGGAGGACGGGGGATTGCAGACCCCGCCATGTTATTAGAGTGAGACAACTGCCTCAAGGCAGCAGATGCTGGGATGTATTTCTGAGACTCAGCCCTGTCAGCTTCTCCAGTCTTTTCACCCAGATCCTTCCTCTCTGTTGGAGGACAGAGCTGTGTGTTTTCAAAGAAGTAGCCTGTTCAAGCATAATAGCCAAAAAATTAGAACAAAAATATAATAGGTGAAAATATTAAGGCACCTTAAAGACTAACTGTGATATTTTAAGGTAAACTTTCATGGATCAAGTCCACCTGGTCATGGGGCCATGTAAATGCAAATATGACAGAGAACGTGGACTTAATCCACAAAAGTTCACATTAAAATATAGCAGTTAAACGGTAAGGTGCTACAACTTTTTAAAAAATCTCTTGGGGTTCTTTGTTTGTTTGTTTGTTTTGTTTGTCTGATGGAGCTGCGTGTAGTACGTCATTAGCCCTACACCCTGTTATGTAGCTTCCTTCCCGGTTTCAGATATAGTAGATATCCCAAGGCTGAGGCAAAGTTTATCAGCTATTGCTGTTGAGTGTTCTGCCATAACATTCTTCCGTTCAAGCAACATGTCCCAGGGCCTCTTTCAGGAACCTAGCCCAGTAGCTCAGAAAGAACCTGGTCATAGTGGTCAGCTGGCGTTGGATGATTTCTGGGTGTATCATACAGGGCCTCTTTCAGGAACCTAGCCCAGTAGTTCAGAAAGAACCTGGTCATAGCGGTCAGCTGGCGTTGTCTGCCCTGCCTCCCCTGAACTAGCCTGTTGCCCTTGAGCCCAGCACAAAACTCTGTTTCATCTGTAGCATTGCTGTTAAGATTGAATTGCATGTATACAATATGGAGTGGGATTTAGTAGGGTCTTTGATTTCACCTAAGGAAGAGAAAGGATCTTGGACCAGTCCTGAGGAAGATGGGAGTCATTGTCATTGTGCTGTTCCTGGCTTATCATGATGTACAGATGTGGCCAATATGTTAAAATGAACAAAAATTTGTGTATACAGTTTTCAGAATCTTTCAGAGTGAAGGATGTAAGCAACTGAGAGCAAAGACCTGCTTAAATTTAAATGGCAGGATGTTTTGTGATGTTAAAAGTTGCACTTTTCAGTACAGTTACTAGTAGGAAGAGACCAGAACACTTTGTGAATGTAGTGTAACACGTAAAGAGTTGATCTGGGACTCAAGAAACCTGGGTTCAAATTTCCATGGAAACTCTCTGGAGAGGTGACAGTGGTAAAACTACTCCTTGACTATCTCACATACCTTGAAAACGCAGTGTCCTCTCACATCAGAAGCAACTTGGTGGTCCATAACAAGTTTTAAGTTGTAGGAAGTTGCCCTTTGCTGTGCAGTTTCCAGAAAGAAACAGTGGCACATTTTGATATCTTTGAAAGGCTAAAGCAGACTAGTATTTAAAATAAATAAATAAAATATAGCTCAGCGCAGTTGAAGTAGAATGTCTATAGTCAAAGTACTGTGATGAAACAAAGAACTGTTCGTGAGCAATACCAATGAGAATAACAGGTTATTATGAATAGGAAAATTAACGAGTTAGCACAGTGCCACATGACTGAAAATTATTGTGTAAATAAATGAGGTTATAATTATGGCTTTGCAATGTTGAGGCCTCATCTGGATTATTTCAGGGCAGAATATGAAGAAATCCTTTCGGACACAGCAGTAGGGAACATAACACTGCATCTTAGAGAAATCTGATGAAAGAGCCAAGACTGTCAAAAGCTATCTGGATACATTGCAAGACTCTTTCCAGTAAAAAGGAGCATTTAATGATAATAAGGAGAAGAAGCTGTAATGGGCATGATAGTTAAAT